GTTGGGGAAGGTCAGGCTTGCCTAAGTGAACCACTGTGAGGATTGCCTACGCCTGGCATGGCCCCTTCCCGTGTTTCTGGTTTGGGCGGGCCTCAGCGTAAACACGAATGTCAGTGGCCCCCAGGCCATGGAGCACTGAGCCTCTTTTCATGGGAAGTGTGTCTAACAAACACGAACGGCACTGGATCTTTCAAGGCACAACTTCTTCCCGAGGTAGATGCATCGCCATCTGTTACTGGCGAGAGACGTGAACCATGTGAGGCAGGAAGAGGAACTGCCTGCCCTCATTTTACAGGTAGAAAGTCCAACTTTTATAGATCTTTACTTTCTTTTTATCAGTTTTTATTCTTTGCCTGCTTCCTCTGCTTTGATTCCTTTTTCTAAATACCCATTTGCACTGTGGACGGTCACCTCGGCTGGCGTTACCATGGCACTGGCAGCAGGCTGGTGGTCGTTGGCAGATTGTAACACTGTTGGGGGACACGAGCACCCTCCTTAGAAGCACCAGCGCTCCTCTGACTCGCTTCCTGCAGTGGGCAGAAAGCATGGACAGTCCGTCAGCATCCAGTGCCATCTTCGCTTCATCATACAAACGCACCGTTTTAGTTAAGAAGAGCATTCATCTTGGATGCCCGAGAAAGCCACTTATTGTGCATTCTCACCCAGCCCCATCACACGGTCGTCCCTGCGTCTCTGTCAGGGCTTTTGTGATGGAGCGTTTAGTTCGTTTCTCCTCAAATAAGGCAGCCTCAATGCAGTGCGGGAGCTTGATGGATATCTTTAAGAGCAACAAGCTTCCCAAATGCCCTGACACATACTCGATGCTCAGATGGCATGCTTTGTGGAGAATCAAGATCACACCATTCCTTTCACTCCTCCAGATGCCAGAAAGAAACAATTACTCACCTCCCATGCCAAAAAGATTCTTTGGCCTGCTGAGTTAAAATCATTTATTTGCTTTTATGGTGTCGGGCTGCATTCATTGAGATTAATTTGGCTCATCTAACTTGAATAGGCTACCTCATTAATCTGAAAAACTTTGAAAACCAGCGTGTGACTGGGACTGCTGTTAGTGCTTTGGAAACATTTAAAAGCAGAAAAGCAGATGCGATGGAGGCTGGCAGCCCTGCTTGCCCAGGGTGCTGGCTGTCTCCGGAGGGGACGATGCCCCTGTAATTGGGTCCTCTCCTTCCAGGGACTCTTAGGCAATGGCTAGAGGCAGAATGTGGATGGCAGCCGTCATTTGTCTCTTGAGGCATGCCTTGCGACACCACTGTTATTTCTGGGGCCAAGTTCCCACCTGCTCTGGCAGGAATTATTACTGGAAGCTGGCAGATGAGGCTTCATAGCAAATAGAGCAGTAAAACTGGAAATTGAAGAATGTCTTGTTGCTACAGCAAAGTGAGCCTCATAGAAAATTCCTGAAAGCAGCAGAAACGTTATCCATCATTAGTCTAGTAAACGCGCGTGAAAAACTACTTCCTGTATAGAAACCAGGTAGCTCCGAAGTGACTGTACAGCTCCTCAGGTTGTTTGCCTAAGTGTGTGTGTGTGGAGGGGGGGAGGGGAGACTTATAGTGTGGGACCTGTTCTGTCTGCACTGAAATGTTCTCTGGAGTAAGCAGCTCAGAAAACTGGTTGGTATGGGCACCATGCCCTCCCTTGTCACCGAAGTGCTCTATCTAAAACCATAGAAACCAGATAGGCAGTACAGGTGCACCCTCCCGGCCACACTTCCTGCAGGAGGGGGGAGAGCCTCCAAAGCAAAGACCTTAGGACCAAACAGGCAGCAAGCATTTTTAGAATCACACCCGAAGAAAATCAGCTGTGGAAAAGCACACACAGCAGCTGGGACATCCTACTGCAGGTAGACTGCCTCAAAAGGCTCATTCACATGCATTCTTCTTCTTTTTCTTTTTTAAAAATGTTTTTATTGACTTGAGAGAGGGAGAAACATTAACAATGAGTGAGAATCATTGATAGGCTGCCTACTGCACACCCCACACTGAGGATTGAGCCTGCAACCCAGGCATGTTCCCTGACCGGGAATTGAATCGTGATCTCTTGGTTCATAGGTCGATGTTCAGCCACTGAACCATGCTGGCTGAGCGTCATGCATTCTTTTCTGCAAGAATGAGGAGCTGGGCAGACGTCTGAGGGCATTCATCTCAGAGGTTCAACAGCAGGTCCGGGGTCAGCAGGCTGCATGCTGCTCTCCCCGCCGGTGGGTTTTCACTGACACTGCAACGGTCTCTGTGGGCAGTGCCTTAGGACCAAGGCCCTTTTCTGAAAGGAGGGTTCTTTGATAACTAAAAAAGAATAGGTCTCTCTCTTTTTTTAAAATATATTTTATTGATTTTTTACAGAGAGGAGGAGAGAGGGATAGAGAGCTAGAAACGTCGATGAGAGAGAAACATCGACCAGCTGCCTCTTGCACACCCCCTACTGGGGATGTGCCCGCAACCAATGTACATGCCCCTGACCGGAATTGAACCTGGGACCCTTCAGTCCGCAGACCGACGCTCCACCACTGAGCCAAACTGGTTTCGGCAAGAATAGGTTTCTTAAGGTAGAACAAGTGCTTCCATAGACTGGTGGGATTTATCCTGCAATAGCAGGGCCCCTGAACTGCCACCTTAACTTGTGCGTCATAACACCCTTTACATGAAAACACACAGTTCCCCATACATCTGGAGACATGGGCACAGTCCATTCACAAATTCACATTTGGAAATAAGCTGTAAAGTAATCCTTATATTACACCCCTAGGGAAAGGTTGAAAAGTAGGTCTGTATCTCAGCATTACATAAAGAACCATGGGCTGACTCTGAAATACTTAGTAATCTCCTTACAAATTATATCCTTGTATGTGCGAGACATGTTTTGAAATTTTAGCGTTTGTGACAGCTTGGCATTTCAGCTTGGGCCACCCCAGTAAGGAAGCTAAGGGCAAAGGACAACCAAGGCTTAGTGTAACTCCTAAAGCAGGTATGCCCCACCAGATGTCCTTCCTGGGGCCTACAGAATTTGCATAAGGCCCATATTCATCTATTTTATAACCAATAGCTGGTATAAACTAAGACTGGAAAAATATCTAATTTGAATGAAGTTTCGTTATGAAAAGGTTTCCCATTTCAAGACAAAATCTAAAGCAATAAATCAAGTTCAAGCCAAAACCAGGACCTAAGTGGGCTCCGTGGCTGAGAACTGTATTGCCTCATCTGCCCAGGGACCAACACTGCTCAGGAGCCGGTCACTAGTACTGCATGGGCTCCAGACAAAGGTGAGCGAGCCAGTGTCCAGACCACACGCTCCTTTATCCATCGTAAGCAGAGTTCCGTTTTTCTTAAGTTGAATGACAGGTGCTGTAGCCAGAAAGTGAGCCAAGGTTCTCAGCAAAGCACATGTGTTTTGCTTAGTGTTGGACCCGACACACTCTGGCTATGTATTCCATTGCTGCAGAGAAGCCTCCTCCTCTCACTGGCTCAGTGAACACTCTGGACCAGTGGAAAAGTTTGCAAAAGCAGGTGCTGGCAGTGGAAGGCGGGAGACGGAGAGGGGAGTGTTGATGGTGGGGGGTGGGAGTAGATGCTTTGCAGCCTGGCCCTGAAAGCCAGCGCTCACTCTCATAATCCTAAAAGGTGATCATTTTTTCTTTAAAACTCAAATGCCAATCTACACTCCACTTGCAGACTCTAGAGAGAGGCAGATGCGCAGGCTCTCTAGAAGGCTCCTTGCCTTCAAAAACCCATGCCCTGAGCAAATGGCTGCTGAACTATCCTCGCTCTTATTCTGCCATTGGGCTACTTTCAAATGCTATGATTCCAACATGATGCTTTCCCAGTAATAACTGTTTGTGTTGCTAAGATAACAGCTGCTTCCAATCACTTTCTCAGCAAACTTGACACATCTACAAGTTCACTAAAATCTTTTGATCAAATGTAGCTAACTAAAGAATTAAGGCATGCGTATTCTGAACTTCAATGTTTAGTAAAGCCTAAATCCCTAAGCATATGGGTCATATCTAATTTTAAGTTTTGATCATTCTTAAATTTATATGTTCACATAAATTTTAGAATCAGTTTGAACAATACTATAGTAGGTCTGTTGAGATTTTAAAAACAGGACTGAATTCTTTGCACTGTCATCTTCTCATCCACAACCATATTATTATTCTCCATTGACTCTAGCAAACTTGTTGGGCTTTTTCCAGGTAACCTTTTTAAAAAATTGCTATTGTGAATATCCACTTTCCTCCCATAAGATTTTCCAATTAGATATTGCTATTATACATCTGTATATTAATCTTGTACTGTCACTTTTTTGAATTTTCTTCATTGGTTCTGGTAGCTGAATAGTTAATGGTCCTTGATCTTCTAGGTAGAAGTTTCTTACAAATAATAATATTTGCTCTCACTTCCCAATATTGACATTGTGTTCTTGTGTCTTCTGCACTGGCCAGGAGCTCCAAGAACATCACTGAATAGAACTAGTAAAGGGTATCCTTGTTTGATCTCTGAGAAGAATGTGTTTTATATTTTACCCTTGAGTATGATGTTTGCTTGAGATATCTTTTAACAAGTCCAGGAATCTCTAGGTTGATAAGTTGTTTAGGTTTTTAATGAAAAATGGTATGGAAAACATACTCCTCCAGTTTAAAATGAGTCCTCTTGGGGAACTTACCATTAAAGCTAAATATGTAACAGTTCAACGTTACTTGTTTTACTTTGGTACCAGGCAGCTCAGAGCCAAAGCATCACAACTGCATGCCCTGGCCTGCTCATCTATATATGGTCTTGGCATCGTTCCTTCCCAACCCTTCACCTATTTTGATTTACATCTTCCTAGATATTTCCCTCTTACTTTACTACTTTGCTTAGATTTCCTATCAATTTCCAAAAATCTTTAATAGAATGAGATTAGTATAAAACTTTAGAAAAGATATGGTACCATTAGGATTTAAAATAAAAAATGAGAGACATTTAGTAGGGGTAGAAAAATACTGTGGGAACTTTTAATAATCCACCAGTTACCAGGAAATTAGGTGGAGACCTAACACTATGGCTAGTAAGTCTCTTGGGTGGCCATATAAATCAAGTGTCGGAAAACATCTGGAGTTAAAATGAGTGCTGTGGGGCCTCAGGAACCTGGTCCAGAGTTAATTTAGTGGTTAAATGAGGCCTGCTTTTACTTACATTGTTATACTTACATTGTTAAGCTTAATTATTTGTCATAAGTAGCAATTAGAAAGCACATTTTAATTTCATATAATGAAGTGAAACCCAGGAGCCATTAACATTTTCAGTAATAAGTGCTTAATAAAAGTGTGAACGTATAATCCCAGGCCATTTCAAATCCTTTAAAGAAGGCACCAAGGAACAGTGGTTTTACCTACCTTATAGTTAAGTGATCAAACTAAAAAATAACTATTCCTCTCAACAAAAGTGTAAAAAAGACCCATAATATACAATTGTCTTTGACAGGCCTTTAACTATAACATATATATTTCTGTAATTTAAATAAAAACCTCACTTGCTTTCCTTCTTCAGGACTCTAAAATATAGAAAACTGATAAAAATGAATTTTAGGAAATGGATTTTATTACCTAAATAGGTTATATCATAGTCCCCATATGCTTTGACATGATTTCACAAAAACAAATCTTTATGAACATCTTAAGATAACTTGAAAAATATATAGTAAAAAAAAGATGAAACCTACAAAGATTTTATTAATATGCACATGGACCCAGTCCATCTAAATTTGGCATATCTAATCTACTTAATTTATTTAATGTGATAATTTTAAAAATTCCATTGGGAGATAATGACATATTATGCCCTTGACAAGTGTGATATTGTTTTGACTAAGAAATCAAAATAAATTCCTGGTTCTGTTGTTGTTCTGGCTCATCAAAACTAATACAATATTTGAGGGTGAGGTTCTGCCATGCCCAGTGAGGTTAGGCAAATGTAATAGAAGGTGCACTGGGTAGACACATATTTTCATCATATAAATTATCTGGTAGTTCCTCGTCATCTCCATCAGGAAAATAGGTAGGGAATGGTAGATTTTTGGAGAAATCCTTATATGCAGGTAGTATAGAATCTTTGATCTGGAGGGAAGAAGCAAAGAGTTTATTAATGAGTGCTACCAATTAAGTTACTTAAAGATAGGATGTTTTACTTATTATTCATAATCAAAGAATATCTTCCTATATTTTCTAATGTGAATGCAACTGTTATATAACATAAAAGGAACTCAATGTATCCTTTTTATTTGAATTTAATTAATCCAGTGATATAATCTTCCTCAAGTTAACCACCTATCTCATAAGAAAAATTTCTAAAACTGCCCAACAGGATAAATTATATTCCATAATTTCTATTTAAATATCAGTTATATCCAAGTTGATTTTTCAAATATAAAGACTGATATAAACTATATACTAAAAGGTTTTGCTATCTACTTCTTAATGATTTCATCTACTCATATTGTCTATTATTTTATACCATAATTTTTGAGCTGAGATTAAAAATAGTTTACCTAGTATTTTTATCAGTCTTAATTCTACAAACACATAATAAAAAAACATCAAGTTTTATTAAGGAAATCAGCTTACATTTAAAAGGTAGCATTCTTATTTATAAGCTAAGAACAGAATAGTATTTAACAAAAAACAAATTCATAAGTATTGCTATTATCTATATTCTAAAAATATTCTAATTATTTATATTCTAAAAATATTCTAATTATTTGAATTCATAAGCTAAGGAATACTACAGATGTTGATATAATCTGAAATATTTTATTTTTGGAAAACATCACTGGGTTTTTTAAAGCTTCTGACTTCTACAGCCTTTATTCAGAGAGGAATAAAAAAATTACATATAATTATAAACACAGAGTAAAATAAGTCATGATAATTTTGGCAATAAGAAATGAATAATTTGGCCTGGTAGGAATGGCTCAGTAGTTGAGCACAGACCTATGAAGCAGGAGGTCATGGTTTGATTTCTGCTCAGGGCACCTGCCAGGGTTGCAGGTGGCAGCCGATCAATGATTCTCTCATCATTGATGTTTCTCTCCCCACCTCCTCTTACTTCCTCTCTGAAATCAATAAAAAAAATTTAAATGCCAAACTGTTAAAAAATAAAAATAAAAGAATGAATAATTTGGTTGAAACAGCTAAATACAGAAAAACATATCTATTTTAATCTCTCATTAAAATTGTTCTCATTAAAACTGTTCTAAAAAATTATCAGCAAGTTGCCCAGAAGAAAATAAAATCACTTTCCCCCACAATTAATCTTGAACTTTAACTTGGACTAAAAGAGGTCATATTCTTCCCAATTTAAACTCTCAATTTAGAATTTAAAATAAAACCTGAGTAAGTAGACAATAACACTTTCTGTGCTAATTTGATGAATGTAAACATTTACTAACAGCTGACCTGAAGAGTGAGTTCATTTTTATAAATCTGTTATAGCTGAGGAACATTTCAGGCAAAAGCACTGTTTAAATATTCTAACTATAAAAGCTACAGTATAATATGTAATCCACTGACTTGAAACATAAAAGATGAGAGCAGTTTTAAAATTGAGGGCTGGAAGTTTACAGTCCAAAGGTGCAAGACTTGTATGAATTTTTGTGCACTTAATTTTGCCTCTGGATTTATTTCCCTGCCTTCACCAAGATCCCTTCAATCACCTACTTCATTCTTTTCATATTTATGTGTATTGGCAAAGCAGTTCAAATCTTGTGAAAAAAGGTTAGGACACACACAAATAAGGCACAACTTGAAAATAAATGAGGACATAGGGATGAGCACACGAGTAGTATTTAATAACATAGCCTACATTATGCTATAAATAGTTTCTTAGGCTCCCTGAATACATTTAGTGAGTCTAAACAATAAAAGCTTACATTAATGAAACAGGCTGGTCAACCCAAGGACTTGTCTTTACTAATTTTAGAATTAAAGACATTGGCAGCCCCGCACTCAGAGCGCCAACGCTCCCGTGGAGTGAGTGGATGTCCAGCCAGAAGCGCTCATTCTCCTCGGGCAAAGGTTTACCTGCCATGCAGTCGCCCGGGAGAACAGAAAAAGTGGGCTGAACATTTTCAGAAGATGTACCACACTGCTGACATTTAAACACAAGCCCACGAAATATTCCTTCAAGCCTACACCTTAATGTTTGAAGCACACATTTTAGATTATCATAATTCAAAGACTTTTTATTTATTTATTTTAAAAAAATATATATATATTATTGATTTTTTACAGAGAGGAAGAGAGAAGGATAGAGAGTTAGAAACATCGATGGGAGAGAATCAACGATCAGCTGCCTCTTGCACACCCGCTACTGGGAATGTGCCTGCAACCAAGGTACATGCCCTTGACTAGAATCGAACCTGAGACCCTTCAGTCTGCAGGCTGACACTCTATCCACTCAGCCAAACAAGCTAGGGCCCTTTTTTAAAAAATCGAACCTGGGACCTTTCAGTCCGCAGGCTGACGCTCTAAGCCAAACCGGTTTTGGCAAGATGAGTTCTTTTTAAAATCAAAACCTGTCCGTTGAAAATGCATTCACTAGTGTGGTAACAGTTCAAAAGTGACTAGATATTTCTGTTGAAAGTTTCTCAAAATATATTTGGACTCCTCTTTAGAAATCGCCTTTGGTGGGCCTTCTGCCTGTCTCTCTTCAGTGACAGTAGGCTACCATCCATTTGACAGCTGACTTTTTGAAAGCAATTTTTTATTAAGTTGATGAAAAGTCCGAGTAATAAGTGTTGCTTATAAACCGTTTGATAACCAGATCAGAAAATTACATAAATTATGGTTTTTCAAGACAGTTGATCTATTCATCTCCAATAGTTACTAAGAAGCATCTAAGTTGCTGAGGTGGTACCTGAGAAGACACAGCAGCAATAGTAGAGTTCAGCTGGAAAGCCAGCCTAAAGCTGTGAATGCAGCAAATGGGGTTATTAAAAAAAATCCACCTGCTATCCAGAATAACTTTATAATGGAAAATAATCACTTTCCTCTTTTATTAGGTTGTGATATGCATAATGTAATAAATCTGGATTGCGGAGGTAGGGATACATTGAATTATGAAGCCAAAATGTTACGAGAAATACAATGACAACTTGCTGGCTTCAACCACTTGTCACTATAGTCACTTGGAGAATGGATCACCTGAGTTTGGAAACCTATTTAAGCCTATGCACCTGCAATCTTAACGAAAGAAACAAGAGAATAATCCAGTCAAAAAATGAGGAGTGCCAGGAAGGGAATTTTAATTGTAAGATTAAAACAAATACTGTACCTTATTCCAGTAACAGAACTATTTTAAGAAATAAAAATACATATAGGAAAAGACCCAATATGAAAAATTTAAGGTTTAAGTTTTAACCTATTTTTATGGTTGTTGGAAAATTAGTGAAAAGTATATTTCCAGGAATAGCTGATATAACTTTTATTACAAATTTATTTTCAGAATGGGAGGTTCAAAACTCGTGATTTATCACTTTGTATGGTATTACAAAGGCAGAATATTTAATTTGTAGAAGTCTCTGAGAGTCTGAGGTTTTCTTCAAATCTATCCTGTACAATCTGTTTTCTTTTCTTTCATATGTTGAACATAGAAATGAACATAAAAATAAGCATGTGTAGTTTTAGGGAAAATACATAAAAATACAATCAGAGCAATGCCAGTAATAATAAGAGAATCTCTCTTTAAAATGTCTACCTTTAATCATCTTTCTTTTGGACTCTCTCATTAATCTCATTAATCTCCACCTCCAGTATTTCTGGTTCCGGTGTCAAAGCACTCTTAAGAAACTAAGAAGTCGTTATTTGGAATGACAGAGATATATTCATATTTTGGCAAGAGTATCCTAATCTCCCTTGTATATTTCTAAAGAGCCTCTGCTTACTGATCCTTTTTTTTTTTTCTTTTAAATATATTTTATTGATTTTGAACAGAGAGGAAGGGGGAGAGAGAGAGAGCTAGAAATGTCGAAGAGAGAGTCATCGATCAGCTGCCTTTTGCATACTCCCTCCTACTGGGGATGTGCCCGCAAGCAAGGTACATGGCCTTGACCGGAATTGAACCCGGGACCTTTCAGTGCGCAGACCGATGCTCTATCCACTGAGCCAAACCGGTTTCGGCTGGTCCTACCTTTTTTTACAGACAAACACTATAGGTTGTTCTGTACAATTTTTGCACTCAGTTGCTACTAAAAAGCAAAATAATTTAGCAGAGAACTCATGTAGCTTGAAAATTAGGGGCTGTTTTTCATATTCATGTAAATGAACAATGGGAAATAGCTATACATACCTTTACTAAGCAATTTCTATGTCCAGGTACAGAGCCATTTACATAGATTATATTGTGCTTCGTGTTTATTCTCCACACCTAAAGCCATAAGTGAAATCATACTTTAAAACTTTGAGAACACACAGAGTTCACGCATCCTCCACCCCTCAATAACTGTGAAGCCTATCAGAACAATCACACTGTTCAAGCATTAAACTGAACAAATAATAATAAAACAGACACACATTAAGTCCATACTCTGGTGCCTCTGTATTCAGGCATTGATTTAACCATTCCTAAAAAGAGCCACTTCAGAAACTTACTTTCAGTCCAAATGCTGTCCTATCTCTGTTTCCCATTTTCCCAGGCATTTTAGTTCCAGGCCAGACTCTGGCGACATCCTAAATGAGAGAACCAAAATTAGCACTTTTAAATATTCTCAATTTAAAACAGTTCTGATCAAAACAAAGTGCAAACTAAGATAGGAATTATTAAAATGTTTAATCCCCTCCCCCATTCTGTTAGGACTTAGTAAAGAACTAAAGAACTAAATATGAATTTAGACACATTTACCCCAAGAGGGGTATAATCTAGTTTAAATTAGATCAGAGCGACAAAATAAATACAGACCAAGAACAGAGTTAGGAGAAAAACTCAATAACAAGAGAGAAGTCGCTGTGCTAACACTGTTTGAGAAAAATAAAGGACATACAAACATGTCACACCACCAAAGGAAAAAAATAACTGCCTGCCTGCTTTCATGAATCTCCCATATCAGCCCATATAATGGACTCAATCCGCACCTACTCTTCCCTTGCTTTTGATGTTACCTTCCTTCAGCAGAATGATTAAAGGACAGTTACTTATCAGAATATTGAGTTTGTTTGTCCAGCCCTGGTTATCCTCGATTCACATAAATCAAACAGCTTCCCACAATCTCTACTATTTTGGCTCTGATAATGGATAATTTTACATTTCAAGAAGCAAATCTGAATTCCATCTAAAATGGGAAAGGGTTTCAGGACACATGAATTCCTGAAATAGAAAAACTTTTGCATCACTACTCTCATAACAGAAGTCCAGGGGTCCAGGGGAAGTAACTCATTAAGAGATAACCCAGCTTAAAAGATAATTGTGAATATTATAGATCAAGTATCACTCTTATTTATTCTATAAATGCATCTAGTGATAAACACCTACTTACCCTTACATTACTAAAAAAAGATTCTGCCCTCCCCAATTAAATTTACTCTTACCTTAAAAGTATACCCTAAGAGTCACTAGCTAATCCCTATGAAAGTATTTACAAACACAGAACAGAGTATTTCATGACAAATAACTTGTTTTAAAAATTAGGCATGTAGAAGTCTATTATAAGAACTTTAATGTAATTCATATGCCACATATTTAAAGGCAGTTTAATATTTTTAGTGTATTGCTATAACCATTTTTATCACCCTCCCACTCCCCCCCAAAAATTTCATACCCATTAGTGGTAACTCCCCCAGCCCTATACAAACTTCTAATCTATTTTCATCTATGGATGGACATTTCACATAAATGGAATATACAATATAAAGTCTACTGTGATTGGCTTCTTTAACTTAGCAAAATGTTTAAGACTCCGCCGTGTTGTAGCATTTCAAAACTTTCCATTTTATTGCTAAATAATGTGTGAATACACCACTCATCCATTCACCAACTGATGACCCTTTGGGTTGTTTCTAATTTTTTGGCTATCATAAATAATGCTGCTGTGGCTATTTATGCACAGGTCTTTGTGGGCATGTGTGTATATATATATATATCCACACACACACACACCGAAGAGTGGAACTGCTGGGTCTTATTTTATAGTTAAACATTTTTAGCAACTGCCACACCATTTTTACATTCCTACTGACAATGTATAAGGGTCCCAATTTATCCACATCCTTGCCAACTTTTGTTATCATCTGTCATTTTAATTATAGTCATTCCATTGAGTGTTAATGGTATCTCATTGTGGTTTAGATTTACATTAATGTAATAACTAAAAGATGTTAAGCATCTCTTCATGTGCTTACTTGGCCATCTGTGTATATCTTCTGGGAGAATGTCTATCCAAGTCCTTTGCCTATATTTAATTGGGTTATTTTTTTTACTATTGAGTTATAAGAGTTCTTTATATATATTCTGGATACAAGTCTTAGCAGATATGATTTGCAAATACTTCAATTCTGTGAATTGTCTTTTCATTACTTGTACTTTTGGTGTCAGATATAAGGCTTTGCCAAACCAAAGATTATGAAAACTTACTCCTATTTTTTAAGGTCTTAAATTTATGTTGATGATAAACCTTATTTTAATAACTATTTTATATAATTAAAACTATAATTTCACATTTATAAAAAGTTGCAAAAATAACACAAACTCTTATTCTACCCAAAATTATCAACTGTTTACAGGTTTCCCACTTGCTTTATCACTCACTCTATATGTCTGCACATCTCCCTATATCATCCATAATTTACTGGTAGACATGATGCTCCTTTACCTATAAGTATTTCAGTGTCTATTTCCTAATTCTCTTACATAACACAATACAATTAAGAAACTCAAAGATTTAAATACATTTATCTACAATACAGTCCACATTCTAATTTTGTCAACTGTCCCAATAATGTTCTTTACTGCTATTCCCCCCAGTCCAGATCTACTTCAGAATTACATAGTTGTCACGTCTCTTTAGTCTCCTTAAATCTGGAGGAGCCCCTCAGCCTTTCCTTGTCTTTCATGACCTCGACATTTTTGAAGGCTACAAACCAATTATTTTGTGGACTATCACTCACTTGGGGTTTGTCTAATGTTTCCCTGCGATTAGATTCGGGTGATGCATTTTCGATGGGAATCACCACAGAAGTGATGATATGTTCTTTTCCTGGAATCCATTCAGGAGGCACACTGTGTTGGTTTGTTTTCAATTACTGGTGATGTGTTCACTCAGTAAATTCACCCTAACGTTATTATTTTCCCTTTTGTAATTAATAGGCAACTTGCTGTGGGACTATGTAAACATATAGGTCCAACAAGCTTTCACCACTTGTTTTAGCATCCATTGGTAATTCCTCTGATGGCCATCAAAGTGAAATTCTAACTCTAACATCCCTTCCATACTTATTAGCTGAGCTTAAGTGTAAGGAAGAGCAGTCCGTTTATTAATCTATTTTATTTGTATCAGTGTGAAATCATTAATCCTAAATTTAAGTTTCCAAATCAAACTGTCCACTCCCTCCACCCCTTTTTATTTTGCAAGTGGGAGCTAATTGTAGCTGGATCCTGGGTCCTTTTCACGTATCATTTTTAAAAGCACTTCCTTCATTTCTTGAACAAGCTGGTGTTTAGAAACCAAGATCTAGGCTCTACTTGTGTTCATTGCTATGGAATATCTTTGCTTTTTACGCCCTTTCAGCAACTAAGACATACATATATTTATACCCATTCCTTTCTTTACATATACCCATTCCTTTCTTTACATAAATACATAATAAATATATACTGGTACCTGCAACTGGAATTCAACACTACAAGGTTCATTTTAGTTTTCTTTCTTTTCATAACTTAATATACCCTTCTCTAACAGTGAGAAATATGGCTCCCATTAGTAATATATTTACCTATCTTCTCAACCTTAAATTCACAGAAAATTATTTCAGAATAGCTACTTAATATCAACACTAATAAGAGAAAAATGCAAATTGACCAAACAAATATTTAAGTTAATTTGCAGATGCAGAGAGAAGCTGCAGAGACGGGAGGGAAGCCTGCATTGGTTTGCTCCGGCTGCAGGAAGCCCTATTCTTGCAGGAATCTTCCTGCAACAGGCCTCTAGTTGCAAATAAACATAATTAGAATTCAATACCTATGCACAGTACCTTTTTAATTTATACTCAAGACATATGGCCAAATACTGTGTTCAAAGTTCAGTTACTCCCCCACCTGTTTGAAATGAATAACATAACCTCACCAAACAGTTAGATTCAACTTTAATTCTATTCCATTATGGAACCCCCATTCTTTGTATTTTATTTTGAATTCATAAAATATTTACATGGTTTCAACTATAAAAATTTTAAAAAAGTATATGTGTGGAAGTGTCTCTCTTACCACTTTTGAGCCCTTCCATACTGTTCCCTCCCATCTCCTGTAGGTAACCAATCTGTTTCAGGGTTATCTTTTAGGTCCTTCCTTTTTGCAAAAACAACCAAGTAACATGTGCATTTCCTTATATCCTGGAAATCACTTTCTCATTCTCTTTTCAGCTGCATTGAGCAGATGTACCATACTTTATTCATCCAAACTCCCAGGTATGGACATTTATGCCTGTAGTATAAATAATGTTGCAATAACTAATTTTGAGAAAATGAGGATCTTCAGGGTAAATACCTAGAAGTAGCATTGCTGTGTAGTTCTATTAGATATTGCCACACTATACTGTATTTTATCCCCAACAAAAGATGCACTAGCTTGTATTCCCACCAGCAATGCATAAGAACCTGTTCCTCTATATTCTTACTAACACAGTGGCAAAAATCAAAGCTTCATAACACATTCTGCTACATAAGAATTTAGTAACTCAAGAATGGTTTTAATCTGTGTTCCTCTAATGAAAGTAGAAATATTCCCACTTAATACTGATATACCTGTACACATATATCAAGCTTTATAGATTAAACTTGCATTACTACGATGCTCCAATAAATTACACTCCCTCACTCCCCAGCACTTTATGCTGTATCTCTGGGAGAGTAGATCTGAATTAGCAATACAAAGTCCTTTACCATTTCTTCTCTTACACCATTATATTATCCTTGATAATCCTTAAACTGCCATTTAAGGAAAAATAGTGTGAAGGAACCAGATGAAAGGCATTCTAATCCCTAATTTCTTGCAGCTGACTTCAGAGTGTAGGAGGGGAGTCAGAGATGGGAATGAGAAAGTAGGCAGAAAAATATTTAGAATGCTGACTGTAGGAATGTAGGGAATAACTAAATGATTCAAGTGGGCCTCTGGAAAGTAAGACCAGGACCCATAAAAGTGTGGTGAGTACTAGGACTCACCTTGACTAGGATTAACATTATGTGACTTGCTCCCCAAGGTCAGACTAAAGCACTGTATGTACAGAAGTTTGGACCTATCGTGACATTAAAGAGAGCACCACTAAGTTATACTTACACCAGTTGAAATAGCTCCAGGTCTCCGGTGAGTTTTCGTTTGACCATGAGAAGCAGGCTGGCCTTTAAATCCCCATCGTTTCATGACACCTTGAAACCCTTTACCAATGCTGAGCAAAAAAAGCATCAGAATTTGCACAATGAACGGAGCATAAAATACACACAACTGTACACTTTCTCGACAGTACCTTAGAGTTTTAACAAAACTAAGCTAAATAACTAGAAAAGGCTATATAAGCAAAACCGCAAATGAACATTCTTTTATGTCTGACCTGGTCTGAATCCCTTCCTGAAATCTTATATAAAATGATTAATTCAAGATTGAGAGACAAGAGCAAGTTAAGCAAAGGAAGTCCAATCTGAACAGGGGGTTTTATAAGCCTTTGAAAAACATGGCAAGAGTGGTATACTTCTAGAAGTTCCAAAATACTTATAAAGAGATATGGCAGACAACCATTAAGATCCCCACACTTCCTGGTACCCAGACCTTCAAGTTCTCACCTCTTCTTGAGCCTGGGTGGACCTAGCAACTCATTCCTAAGGAATAAACGATAGCAAAATTGATGAGATGCCACCTCTGACATTAGGTTACAAGGAGAATGTGGCTTCCATCTTGGCACTCTCTTGCTTGATAGGCTCTGAAGGAAGCAACTGCCATACTGTAACCTATTCTACAGAGTGAAGAGGCAAGGATGGCTCTAGCCAACAACTGTGGACCGAAGGCTTGGCGGCAATTCTCCCCAAGTCCTACACTGAGATGACTGCAGCCAGAGGAAGTCAGCTAAGTTTACTGGGATTTCTGACCACAGAAGCTGTGAGGTAATAAATATTGGTTGTTTTAAGCTGTTATGATTTAGGGCAATGTGTTATGCAGCAAAAGAAAACTAATGCAACAGAATATTAAATAAAACAATAATACTCTAAAAGCTGCATGTTTTACTATTAGAAGATACCAGATGGATATTGGTTTCAAGGCTTGACTAGAAAGCTAATGAAAAAAATCAGAATTACAATTTCTTAAAGTGAAATATTTCACATATTTCACTTTAAACAAAACCATTCTACTTTCAAAGTCTGTAACTAGAGAAACATTCTGTCATGCAGGTGGAAAGCAAACAACACTGTGATTCAAAGCATTATTATGTCTGTTGCTATCAGTACAAATCACATAATAAAAGGGCTTGAATAAATTGTAAGCTGTAGTGGACACATTTTTATAGACTTAGGATGAACATTTTTTTCAGCTTTCATTAGATAATATGTCAACATATTTTGAAGTCGTGTTTCCTAACCCTAACAAAGCTAGCTGTTATTAAATAGACAGTGAATAGTTCAGGCCTTTTACAAAAAAGCAAAAGGTTACGAAAACCACCTTATATCCACAAGCACTTTGCTGTGCATAGAATTACCAGAGAGTAATGAGTTGAAGTTAGCCTGTATAATATTTTGTTGAACTCTTGATTACCTAACAGCTAAATATTATCATATCACAGGTCAAATGTTATTTGTATATGAATTTAACTGCAGCGTATACCACTTTCTTCATAATCAACTGGACATATCACTGTGTATACATATTTTCTGCCTCAAAAACTCAAAATAATTCTTATTCCTGATATAAAAGCTAAATGGAAGTTTCATATATAAAAATTATAAGATTAACATTTAAGAAGAAAAGCTATGATAGTGAATCATTTTACTGAAATCTGCCTCAGAAACTTAAATGAAAATATTTGTTAACAGATTTTAGGACATATTGGAAAATAAAAAGGAAATACCTAAAAAGTCACTTGAATCTATCCTATTGTTTCACAAATAACACTTTAAAGAAAAAAAATGGGAGGGGACTGCAACACAAATTCTAAAATGAACACGTTTTAAAAATACCACATTCTAACTCTGGCCATTCTTGGTAGAAAGTTTGCTGGTGCCTTTTGAGTTCTCAAACTGATTCATCTCTTAAAACAAGAGCATGACCATGCCCAATAACATACATGCCAGGTAAATTACAGAAGATATTGAGCTCAATTTGAGAGTAAATGATTATAAGATGAAAATGGTATCCCGAAAGTGCTAATTATGTCTGCTAATTACAGATTGTTTTTAATCTAGCTCTACAGTACACCATGTTGTTATACTGGGTACAATGGGAACCTCTTCAATAAATAACTTTCTAACAAAAGGACAAAACACAATGACAGACAAATTACTGGCTTAATTCAGATGATGGAGAATAGAGTGCACCTGTTGATCCATGGGTGGTACAGGTACCTATTCTTTTGTTTCTCTCTGTCTCCCAATTTGAGAACAAAACAAAAGAAATGAACTTATCTATACTTAGCATACCCACGCACATTTCAAATATAAGGTTTTCTTCACAGGTCAAATACAATAAACCATTTTACCACAAATGATACCCAACACAAAGCACACGTGCTTCACTCCCACACCCTTTCTAATGCAATCTTTAATGACAGCAGAAAAAAAGCAAATCAAGGAAAATCCAAATCAGAAAGAACACGTTAAAAGTTCCAAATTGAGACATATGAAAAATAGAAAAACAAAATTTTGTTTTCAGCATTTATACTTGTTAAACCAAGGAATCATTAAACTCAAAACTATTTAAATTTAGACTTGGTTGTTGTTTCTTGGCTTATTTCCTTAGCATACTTCCTACTGTCCACCCTAGAGAAGTCAGAGTAATTCTATTACTGACAATAGCTGTGCCTTAGGAAAAAAGATGATTCGTTTCCTTTATTTTGCCTTCAGTTTCCAAATGTTGTATAATGGACATGCCTTTCATAAATATTTAATAGATGGTGTTCAGAAAAGGAGAAAAAGGACTTAAAGGTATGACTAAGAATCTTGCAAAAGAGAATGCATAACTTAATGTTTCTAACTGCATCCTATAAATCTCTAGAAATTACTACCAGGTGAATTTCATTCCCATGCCATATTATGGCAAATGCCTAAATGTCTACCAGTAGACAGAGGTTTTAATAAAAACCCACCAGTATTTCCTCACTTTGTGGGAAATGGCCTTTGATTTCATGGTTCAGAATATAGTTATATATGGAGATAAAACAAAATGACCATGACATGAGGAGTGCTCTCAAGTTCATCCATTCTGAGTGCTCTGAGAACTTCCTCCAAAATTCTCATCACTCAGTCTTTCCTTGCCACTGGCTTCTTTTACCTCTTCTCTCAGCTGAATTCCTTTCTCCTCTTAGGAAGCAAACTGCTTCTCCCTCTCCCATCCTTCGCCTGCAACCTATTTTTCTCTCCTAAGTGTTCTCTGGAACTCACTACTCTGAGGTTAATCTCTTAATCCCCAAACTTAAAACCTTTTTAATAACCTTTTATTATGGAAGTTTTAAAACCTTTTAATAACCTTTTATTATGGAAGTTTTAAAACATATTCAAAAGCAGAAATTCTAGTACAAAGAATTTTTGACTCAAGGACTATTTTGTCTCATCTATTTCCCTCCCCTATAATTCCAATGTAATAAAAAGCTAATATGCAAATTGTTCCCTAAGGAGTTCAACTGCTTGCTATGATGTGCACTGACCACCAGGGGCAACGTGGAACATGGCCAGAGACCAGAGGCATTGGTGGGGCACTGAGGGAAACGAGGGAAGGAGGAGGTGGGGAAGCTGATTTGCCCTGATTGTCAGCCAGGCCATGCATAAATTTCATGCACTGGGCCTCTAGTTTTAAAATTCCAGATATCATATCATTCTACCCATAAATATTTCAAATATGGGTCTCTAAAAGATAAGAATCCTTTTAAAGAACAAAACTACATTACCATTATCACAACCTAAAAAAAATTAGCCATCCCTTAATATCAAATATCCAGTCAGAGCTCACATTTCTCTGGCCTCTTTTAAAACAGAAGAACTGTCTTCTATCACTCTTTACCACCACTCCAATCATCACTTCCTCCCTATTCTCCTGCTTCCCTAATGCTCTTTGACATGCTCCTTTCCCCTTACAGCTACGTGAAAAGATGATCTTAGAGTCTTGCCTCTGACCCTTTTCTCACTATGGTAATAAACAGGGGTTGCCAACTTGTTTTTGTGAGTTTTATTATAACACAGCCACGTTTATTTTTCTACTTATTGCCTATGGTTGCTTTAGAGTAGGGGTGTCGAACTCAATCAGAGAAGGGGCCAAAATCTAAAATCCAGCCTAAATCGCGGGCCGAATGGTTTACTGAACAGTCATAAACTGTCATTGTGATGGAAACGCAGTGGAGTGCAGTGATGACAGCGTGGTGCGGGCCACATTGCAAGGCCTGGCGGGACGGATTTGGCCCGCGGGCCTTGTGTTTGACACATGTGCTTTAGAGCTATGACAGAGCTGAGAAGTTGCAACAGAGACCACAATGTTCACAAACCTACATTTAGTATCTGACCGTTTGAGAAAAAGTCTGCTGTCCCCTGAAGCTATTACTAATAAACTGGAGGTCTAGACAGACAAATTATTGTTCTCAAGTTGGTAGCAAGAGTTCTGCTACCAGCCCATTCTACAGATGGCTGGACCATAGCTAGACAGAAGTACCTCGGCCATTCAATTCCAATGTTTCAGAAACAGAACTGAACATCACCCTCTCTTCAAGATATCTTCCTCCTCCATGACTTACAGAGTGAAATTCCAAGCTGTTCCCTGCTCTAAAAAAGCACACAGCATAACACTAAACAACTATAAATATTTCCTAACAACTTCATTAACTTGGAACATAAGGCCTTTTATAACTGGGTCCAGCCTACCTTTTCAAACACTGCCCATTACTGATCTAGTCATAGCAGATTCCTCTGTGAATCCCTAAATATGCCCCTTTCTTATATGTCTGCTCATTGTTTCCTCTACCTCAAATACCCTTCATGCTAAAATATCTATCTTCCACTGATACCATGAAAAAGAACTAAACGTGTTTCTCATTGTGCTATATCAGCTGTAAAGTATTTCTTTTCTTTATTTAAAAATATCAAAATCCATACTGCAAATGTTTTTCAATCTGAACCATTTCCAATTTAAGCTTGTACTTTTTCTCTTCAGCTGATTTATGCTGTAAAAATGTTGACTTGTACGTAATCAGAAAACCTG